CCCACAAGAAAAAATTCATTGTCACATACGATAAAATTTACAGTCAATTTAGGGGGAGCTTTTGTGATTTAAGCCGTAATATTTGAACAGGTGATGCGTTATGGGATGTAAAACAAAGTTGCATCAAAAAAATGCATTTCGTACAAAATGTAACATACGATAATTTTGCGAAAAGGGGTCGATATGTTTGTGAGTGTACAATCGATATTTTCTTTACGATATGGCCAGCAATTCTTTGCAGAGATTATGCATGCTTACATATCACCTTGCTTCCCGCATTGTCCCGTAGTGCTTCATTGTTGCTATTTTTTGTTACCCAGGTCTAATTTTTTTACATCAATAAATCTAAAAACGGGGTCGATAGTGAAGTAATTCGAAAATATAAATCAGTTAGCATGGAGAAACTATTTGAATCATATGAAAAAGGTCAAACTCTAGTGAAAGCTTTTATTGAGCGGGGTGCTCACCAGGATATTTGGCAATGCTTTGAGGAAATCGCCAACGGCTCTGATGCGGATTCCAGTTTTTGTAGTGATGTGGGTAGACAAGGCAGCGACCGTTAAAGAAAAAAGGCAGCAATTTAGAAATGGGCAAATATTTACAGCTGCGCTCTACCATCCTCAGTGTATTAAATTTGATTATAAAAATACAAAAAAAAAATCTGAATTAGATTTTAAATCTTAAAGGTATTAACAGGTTACCCTAAAAATTTTTATAAAAAATGGATTAGCTCTAACAAATCATCGGATTCATAAGTTAAAGCGCATATTTTGTTCGAGATTATATATACTTTCGACATATAACTATCTTTATTTTTTAATAATTTAAGCAATAGATAGTCTCTTGAGCTGCAAAAATTTAAGAAAAGCGAAAGTTTCGAGTTTTTCCATTGTAACTCGAAACTAACTAAACATTAAAATGTTTGATATTTATTGAAGAAAACATTTGTACAACTTAAGATGAAAACAGTCTTTTAAAAGTACATCAACTACGTTTACATAAATATAAATCAGACACAATTGGGAGTTAAAATATTTATTTATTTAAATATGTAACGTAATGTTTTGAACTTATAAATAATTTTCTAAAGTAAGTAATATTGGCTTAAGTAAGTTCAAAACAAATCTGTACAATCGTTACTATTTAATCTACATAGTTATATTACCTAAAGTGTTTTTATGCGACAGCCTTTTATCTTCCACAATACTCCATAAAAATTAATGCCTGAAGCAAAATTACTGTAGCACGCAAGGCGAATTTATATAAGGTGGTGTTACTAGATCAGCTGATTTTGTGTATGTGATTCGCACGGCTTCTGATGTCAAATTGAAAAATTTTGTTTGAATTTCTACACACACTCTTACAGATTTTGACAGTTTCTGCCGCCAAAGCAAAAACAAAATACATACATGTAAATTTCTGTTTTTGTACTCCTGCTATCACCTTATATTAATTCGCCTTGTTAGCACGGTGGAATTATAATTATAGTCTCAAAATCAGTTATCGATGACTTAAAAAGTTTGTCTCACTTATAATTATTATAAAGGATTTCATAATTCCGACGAAATATGGGATGCCTTTTTAAAACTGAACTATCAAATAATTATTATTCTAGATCTTTGCTCTAGTTAGATTGCGGGCGTGTTTCTTTATTCATTCCAAACGTTCGGAATACATTTTTATGTTTACTTATTCGTTGGAACGTTCTGGATAATATGTTACAGGATAACCTAACGCATTCTTTTCATTCCGTCTTTAGCACGGAATTCATAAAATATTCTGCTGAACAGCTGATTGTGTGCATATGTACAAATTGCATGAAAATAATGGCGCTAGAGAAACCAAGTAAGTTTATGCAAATTGTTTTACGAATAAAACCTTTAGCAAATTAAATTAAATATTAATAGAGAAACAGTGAAAAGTTCTTTTCTAGCTGATATCTAATAATTTTATTCTTTTCTGTTTCTTTATTCCCATTATTCCTACGGTGATCATCCGTCCTTTATTTTAACCCCCTGTCCTTTATAATTTTTTTCAAAATAAAGGACGCCTTTTGTCCTTTATTTCTTAAACTGTCCTTTGAATCAGCTCTGCGTTTTTCAGAGGTAAATTTTTAAACAGAATATGAAAAATAAAAATGTTCCTTATAAAATATAATGAAAACCTTCGCCAGTTTGTTTCGCACCCCACTTAAGGGTTTTTTTAATAGGTATCTTCGCACAATCTATAAAGCACAGGGAAAGTTGTGCCCAGGATCGTGTTGCACCCTGAGTTTCCAGTTCCACTGAAAGAGAACAATAAACCCCCTGCTGCACAGTGGTTCTAAACTGGCATTTAGTGTTCGTAATTCACTGGAGCCTTAATTTTTTTCACTTATATGCTTATAATATTTGCAAGAGACCAGTTGGGCCTGATTTGTGAATTTTTATTTGATTATATTAATTTTTTTAGTGCAAAATGCAGAAAAAGTGGCAATTTTGAAGAAAATGTATTCTCCTGTTCCAGTTAATAAATGTTACATAACAAAAACTAGTTAAAAACAATTGTATGGTTCCCCAAACTGAATAAATTACAAAAAAATGTTTGAAATGTTATAACAAAAGGTTCACAAAAATAATTTTTTTTTTGGTTTTTAGTAAAAATTGGTTGAAAAATGAAGACTGCGGTGAATTATAAACATTAAATTCCAATTTTCAACCACTGTGTGCTGACTTCGGCGTGCAGTATGAATTATGGTAAATGCATTTTGGCAGCAAAGGATGGCGAAGTCCTTGAAAAGGATTTGGCTTCATTTTTCGGAATCGGTTAATTAACTGGTAAATATTTGATTTAAATTACGATATGGGTAAGGTACTTTTATCATACAAGTTGTATGTACGTATTCCCAAATAATTTTGAAAAAAAGTCCTTTATTTGACATTGGTTAATATGGTCACCGTAATTATTCCGTATAAAATATGACTATTCTATTCTAGATCCGGAATGAATAAAGAAATACGCCCTGTATGTATCTATATTTTGATAACAAAGACTCATTTTTGACATTTCACTTATTCTCGTAAGAATTCATGCTCTGATTCATCAATTTGTTTTATTTTTTCCCAATCTGTTTGTGTCATTGCTAATTAAACTCATTAAAGTATTTACCAAATGTATTTATGTAGTTAACGCTATTTGCCACGTATATCCCGTTCGATTTTCTTTTCACTTAAAACCCAGGGTACTGCAAGAGTCGTTGTGTGGTGCCGCAAATAATACAGGATCGCCAGCTACCGATGATGACGATGGTGGTTTTAGCTATATGGATCCTGATCTTGCGATTGCTTTACAGCTTAGCCGACAGGATCAGCAGCAGTATGAAATTGAGTTACAGCGTGAACAGGAAATGATTGAACAGGCGTTAAAGCTTAGCTTACAGTAGAACTAAGTCAATTTTGACCATACAAAATATTGTGTTTGAATATATATTTATATATCTATCCATATGATCGAACTTCGAAATATTTTCAATATCAATCATTAATCCCTGCAGGGAAACATATACTCTATTGAGAATGGTAGAGGAATACATATATCAAAGAACAGAACTATTAAAACCTTGAAGTCAAATAACTTTGTAATTAGCAATATTTTTAAAACATCTGTAAATCAACAACTGTCCGTTTAACGTGGTAAAAATTGTTCAAACGTGTCTTCTACGGTACTTTTTTTCAAAATATCGCATGTAATATATAGTGCATAAGTATATTTCTTATAGATCTTCTATACCTTATTACTATATGAATTTTTTATATTATACAGAGACATTTCAAAAAGCTTTCCGTACTAGCGTACAATAAACTAAACATAAATTCACCACTCTTAAATAAAAGTGTCTCGTTTAGTAATTTTATATATGTACATATGCATGTGATTCTTCATATTTATTTGTAAGCTTATCCTATCCTCAGTTACAAATGCAAAAATACATCGTGGAGCTATACATAAGAACAATTTAATATTTATTAGTTTAGTTTAAAGGTGTTAAGAATCTTTTATTTTTATTGCTAGGTGTATTTGTGGTATTCCTTGTGGTCAATGTACATACATACATACATATATATCGTCGTTTAAAGTACAAAACCGCGCATCAACCAAATTCAAAACCGCGTATGTGAGGTTGCATAAATTATTTTCTAGAGAGTAAAAACACTCATATTTCAAAATGGTTCTCTTTTTTATAAAGCAATAGCATTTCTGGCTAGTATATTTCAGGACGAATGGATAAGGATTGAGACAAGAACTTGTGTGAGCAAATCTAATTTTTGGCAACCAATGTCAGTTACGCGTTTTTGCAGAATTACATACGCGGTTTTGTACTTTAAACGACGATATTGACCATTATTTTACAAATTTTATCTGGGCAAAGAACAAAGAAACGTCGCTGGCAACATACAAGGCAATTGGCTAGCCGGTTCTAAACTATGCTGCGCCTGTTTGGTCGCCGGGGACTAGTTCGACGCAGTGGACGAAGCTTCAGACTTGTCAGAACGCCGCACTCCGGACAGCGACAGGTTGCCTTATGATGTCGCCTAAGCACCACCTACACAGCGAGGCCCAAGTGCTTCCCGTAAGGGAGCACAATAAAATGCTTTGTGAGCAGTTTCTGATGGGGTGCCACAGACGTCAACACCCTAACAGACCCTTGATAGAGGAGGAGCCTCCGCACAGGCACTGCTAATGTATGAATGATATAACTTTTGTACAAGTTTTTATAAAATATTACAATAATAGCAATTCCTAATAAATTAACTTGATTCCTAACAATAAACTTTAAATGATAATCTTCAACTGATATTCATTTTTGACTTTTTATTCGAGGTGCAAGAATGTTTCATTTATTTTCGGTTCAGGAGCACCGTGAATATGTAAAATTATTATAGATTTTTGGAAAATGGGCAGACACCGCCCACTTATGACTACATAAACAGAGCTGGGTAAATGCAATTACGTTACAATCACAACTAAATTGTAAGGAATCAACTCCTTCAGTCCACAGCAAAGGATTGATTACTTATTCAATTCCCTAGAAGTAATTTCAAATGTAATTGTTTTTCTTTCCATTACAAGGAATTTCATATTATAATTAGAACCAATTACGTGGTAGAAATGTAATTTTTTCAATTCCTTTGAAAGGAACTGAAAATGTAAAATGTAAAATATTTTCTTCCAATCCCGTTACCTGGAATTGCAAAAGTACTTCAGTTTTTTTCAATTACTCAAAGGAATTATGAAAGTAATTGAGAAACTGAAAGTTTATTCACAAATGTGAAGTGTGAAATTTTTGTTGTGGTCAAATGTAGGTATGCTTAAGATTATATCAATTATCGTCGCAATTTAATAGCGGCCATAAGATTTCAATTGGTTTATAAAACTCATAGGAGGTAGGATCTCCCGTCTGCCTAACCCTGACTCACATACCACACGAGTGGACAAAGGCAAAATTTTTATTCCTACCAAAAGGAAGCAAGGCCGCTCATGTGAAACCGAAGGATTTCAGGCCTATAAGCCTCAGTTCATTTTTTCTAAAAACTATGGAGGGGCTCATCCTCGAATCAGCATGCATATTCCAAGGGAAAATCCGTGGAGACCGCACCCCACGAAATCGTATCGACGATAGAAAAAGGATTGGCCTTAAAGGAATACACGCTCGGTGTTTTTCTCAATATCGAGGGTGGTTTCAACAACATCTACCCAAAGTCTGTTGTTAACTCCCCCCTCATGGCGGGGGTGCAAAAGAGAACTTTTCTATCAGAGCTGGGGTATGGTTTCATTACAAAGTATGTGACCAGAGGCACTCCCCAAAGAGGCGTTCTCTCCCCTCTACTCTGGAATCTAACAGTGAACACCCTACTTCTAAGCCTAAAGGGCATCGGTTGTCAAGTCATAGCGTACGCTGATGACATAGCGATCGTGGTAACGGGCAAACATCTTCAGGTCCTGAGTGAGTTATTGCAAAGCGCACTCGATCTGGTAAACATCTGGTCCAAGGCCAATCCTATCAAGACACAAATGGTACTTTTCACAAGGAAGTATAAAACTCCCTTATTCAAACCTCCCACCCTAAACGGGGTGGCACTTACTCTCTCAACTGAGGTTAAATACCTTGGAAATAATGTTAAATCCTCCACCTGTGGATCTCTACGGCGAATTTCGGGCCGGCTGCAGTGCTGCCAGGTTGAATACAATACAGCCGTGGAGAGACCTCAGATAGGGACACGCAAAAATACTTGAAACTCTACCGGATAATCTACGACAGATAGATTATACCACTTCTCTACCCTCTTTAGACAACAAATTCTCCACAAGAATCCCAGAGAGGAACGAGTGGGAAAGAGCCACAGACATGAACCCAGGGTCTTGGGCCATATATGCAGTTGGTTCCAAGCTTAACAAAAGAGTGGATAGCGGGATCTACTCTGACGAACTCGCGCTAAACCTCAGTTTTCACTTCCGGACCGTGGTAGCGTTTTTCCAACGGACACTATCCCTGCCCTTGTCCCGCCCTGGCCAACACGCGCAATCAATTCTTCATCAAGTACTTTCTAAATTGTTTAGCCGATTTGAACTCGGCGAACGCTCTCGACTTTTTGTGCTAAATAAAACGCACTCGGTGGTTCAATTACTATGGGAGGGAAAGAAGCAAAAGGCTTCGGCCAGTGGTGTCACAAAGGGCTTTTCCAGCCCACGTGTGCTCCGCACTCTGCGCGGAGAAGCCACTCTAAACTAACCTAACCTTGGATCTGCTGTCCGACAGGACATGTAATTCCAGCGGACTCCATCTTCATATGTAACGTAGGATGCCAAAACAAAACCCTCGGAAACGTTCTCAAGAAGAACATAATGAGAACGAATTTTTCGGGAACGTTTTCGATGAGAACAAAATGAAAACGAAAAATAGAGAACGTTTTCAAGGAGGATCAAATAAGAATAAAAGTCTGGGAAACGTTCTGCTAGAGAAAAAAACGAAAACAAAAATTTTAAGAATTTAACTTTAAGAATGAGGGGCGTATGCGTGTTGGGATGAAAAATCGTTTCAGTGAGAACCATGATTTATACATATACATATTATGTCCATTTGTTAAATATGTGCCCATTTTCGCGCCGCCTCCTTTATGACCAGTTTTTATTTGATCCAAACCATATTTTCAATCCCCAATACCAGACGCTCATATGTATGACATACATGTTAAGTATCAACTTTTATATTTCTACGTACAAAATTATTTGTATAAATTTTTAAATTTCCAAAATTGTACAATGTGAAGTTCAAAGGCTTCTACAAACGAACCTTTTAAGTTCTCCAAAAAATGTACTATGCGCATAGAAAGCTTGCTACCTCACATGTATGATAGAGATGCCAGATCGAAGTAAAAAAATCGATTTATGAAAAAATAATTGATGCTGGAAGGAATCGGCAAAAAATAAATCGATCTCCCAACGTATTTTACCTATTTTTTACAAGAAAACAAAACACGGCGATCTGACCAAACTATTATTGTAATTTTTAAAGCATACATACATTTTTCATAACGGTTTAATATCCAGATTTATTCAAAAGCTATCAACTAGCTAACAATTCGTAAATACTTTGAAAAAACAAGTAAACAAGTAGTTTTTAAGCAAAAAACAAAACCAACTTCAATTCTCATATAAAAATTTTAGTGATCGTATCTAAATCACATTAGTGTTGGACCGCCTCTGAGGTACCATATATAAAATTATAAAATCGGTTAACGTGGTTAAAAATTATGCGGTAACATTCATACATACATAAACAAAAAAATCTTCCGACGAATTTATTTATTTATTTATTTATTCATATCTAGTAAATCTAGAAATACATGATTTCTTACAGACTACTACAAAAATACTTAACGATACAAGTTCAAGCTTAACTATATAGTTCATTCAATGATAATTTAAACAGTTGCTTAGGCGACGAGAAATCAAAGGCCAAAGAATTTGAGATTTGATTAAATTCTTTCAATGCTCTATGAATCGGAGCATAGGATGCATAAACCGTCCGGACTCGCTCCAGAAAGAATAAATCATTGCTCCGCAATTTTCTTTGTGGAATGTAAAAATAAATGCGCTCTAAAAGAAATGGACCATCAATTTCTCCACTGATAATATCAAAGATAAAGCAGAGTGAAAGAACACTCCGTCTACTTTGTAAAGACTTCAAGCTTATTAAAGCACATCTAGCATCATACGAAGGAATCGGTTCAACAAAGTTAAGCGATCTGAGAGCAAAACGAAGAAAATTCTTTTGAATTCGCTCAAGTCTATTAATGTGACAAAGGTGATATGGCCTCCATATAAAGACCGCATAAGTTAGCTTAGATCGTACAAGCGAGGTAAATAGTAATTTTAGAGTGTAAGGATCAGTAAAGTCTGAACCAAAGCGCCGAATAAAGGCAAGTGTAGAATATGACTTAGAAATTATATAATTTAAATGACTCAGAAATAGGAAATTTGAATCAAAAATTACTCCCAGATCAGAAACTTCATCCAAAGTGGTGAGACGTGATTCCTTAATTAAGTATGAAGTAGCCAAAAACTGCCTAGACTTAGAAAACGTTATGTGAGAACACTTCCGAATATTTAGCTGAAGGTGATTTTTATCACACCATGCCACAACGTTATTGAGATCTGACTGGAGCTTAGCTGAATCAGATCGACTTGAAATTGTTTTAAAATTTTTTAAATCGTCTGCATATAAAATAAATTCAGAAAATTTAAAACAATCAGATATGTCATTAATAAAAATGATGAAGAGTACTGAATACTGCCCTGAGGGACACCAGAGGAGGCAACAAAAGGTTGGGAAGAAACATTATCAACAACAACTACACATTTACGACATGAAAGGAACGACTTTATCCATTTTAAAAAAATGGAATGAAACCCAAAACTGCGCAATTTGGAGATTAGAATTGAATGGTTGACTTTGTCA